TTTTTTTTTTTTTTTTTTTTTTTTTTTTTTTTTTTGAGAATATATAAACAAACTCCACAATTATCCCTCCCATTCTCAACCCGAAACTCAATAATGTCATCATCACGGGGTTATAAAAGAAAACAATTAGGCTCAAAAGGGCAACTAGGGAATAACTGCAGAAAAAATAAGGATAGAAAGATACAAAAAATGCCTTAATCATATTCACAGTTCACAACTCAGATTGATTCATTTCGATGCAGACTCAGGGCAAGTTCTAATCAAACAAGAGCATGACCAATATATCTCAAGAAGGAAATAAGGCTCAAACCTCACTAGGCAAATATATGAGTGTCACTCGAAGTCATTAACCAAGCATTTCATCATGCTATGCCATACAATACCATCATCACAACACATCGAATTCATAAAACATGTCTTAACTCACCATGAATTTTCCAAGTACAGACTCAAAACACATAAATCCTACACTAGACTGGTCCACAAGCAAAAGAAATAAATAAAACACACCCTAAAACAAGAAAAACAACTAGACCTGGTCAATCATGCAGCCACATAAACTCCCCCACACTGAAAATCAGACAATGTCCCCATTGTCGATCCGCAGCGAAAGGAAGATGTACGTACACAATCAACCGACAAGACACAACAAAGAGAAAAGACAAAAGAGAAACAAAATAAAGAGAAAAGAAAAAGAAAAGCTAACCAACACAGTGACAAGTCACTGTGGACCAGGAGGAGGAGACGGAGGAGGAGGAAAAGGCTGACCGGTGCCGGAGCTCCACTGGGTGTAACGATCGTTCCACTGGTTCTGCCACAGCTCAATAGCCTGAAAGCGGGCATTAATGTCCCGCATGTCACGATCATAGCGGTCCTCGTAAGCCGTCCACCACGGAGGAGGCTGGGACCACCAAGCGGGTGGGGCATGTGGCTCCGCTGGTCGTGGAGGTGAACGTGTGGGCCGTGGCTCCCAGGAATCAGCCTCGGGGGTCGGGTGCCAAGCGTCAGGAGGCGGAAGGCGATGATCCTCGTCGATAAGAGCCTGGTCGTGCTCCATCGCCTCCGTCTCGTGGATGGCCTCAGTCGCCGGACGAGGACGAGACGAGCCTGCTTCAGTCGCGGAAGCGGCCGCGGCCACCTTCTTCATATAAGTGAGGTAGGCCGGCCGCTTCTCATAGATCTCAAATGCGCGGCGGTTAAGGAGGAGGCCCGCATGACTGAGCTCGTAATAGTCAATGAAACGCATACTCGAAGGAAGGCTGCCAGACGCCTCCGGGTCATCCCCGAAGTGCAAAGCCAAGGCGGTCACTATATGACCAAAGCAAGCAGCCGCTCTCTTGTTCCGGATGATGGCCCGGCACTCCTCCTTAAAAATATACAATAAATCTCGGTCCTTCCTCGCGATCATAGCCCACAGCAGAGCGAGGTCAATCTGAGTGACCTTGTTGGCCTCCTTCTTCCCGAACACACCGTAGCACAGAAATTTGTGCATCACGGCGACAGCACCGTCTTTGATAAGGCTATTGGGCAAGCCCTGGGAGTCCCACACCGTGTCGGGAGAAAGCTGGGGCCAGAAAACATCAAGATACATGCCCTCGTTCGTTCGTGCGCCACCCGAGTGGAGACCCACGACCTCCTCCATGATG